GCGAACAAACGGGCAGTGTCACCGGCACACAATGCTCGCCAAGATACGCCCACGGAGCCTTAGCAGGCCGAGGGAGCCCGCCGGAGGTGGTTGGCGGCGGGGGGGGTGGACGGGAGAGGCGCGAGGCGGGAGAAGGCGGTGGTCGCCCGGGTTAGCACGTGGGCGGAAGGTGCTGAAGCACCTAGCCGGGGAGGGGGAAGGGAAGAGGGGGCGGCAGACGCGAGCGGAAGGGAGCGACCGAAGGAGGCGGCGCCCTTCACCCGCCATGTTGTTCCCGCGCCGGTGCCCCGCTGCCGCGCCGCGTGCAGGGCCGCGTGCCCGCCGCAACCGGACACACCTGGCCCGGCCCCTGAAGCCGTGCGGCCGCTGCGGGGCCGGGGAGCGAGAGTATAGTCGGTGGCAGCGCAGGACACCGGCCGAGGAAGCCGGTGGTCTGCCAGCCGGCGGAAGCAAGGTCGCGTTCGCGGCGAAGTGACAGCTGCAGTGGAGAGGACGCCACTAGATGCAGCGCAGCGCGGTCAGAGATTGCGGTGGGCATGCCTAGAAAATTAGCAATTGTTATATGAGTTGTATTTCTTAGCTTCGCTAGCAATTCGCAAACCGCAAGATTGGTAGAAATACTTAGAAACCAATGCGGCTATGTTAATGACGACGCCCGCATGAGGGTCTGCGACAATAACCATGGCTATACGAGCAATGCTCAACAAATATACCGCTTTAAATAGTGAGGATAGGATAGCCTTTCCGAATCGTCAACAGCGGCGGTTAGGAGCACAGGTTACGAGAGCTGTTGCATGGCCGATGTCGTACAAGGACATGCCCACTACACGTGGCTCCGCCCTTTCCCACCCACCCACCCCGCACGCACGCACGCACGCACACGCGCACACGCGTGCGCGCGCTCAGCCGAGCGATGAGCCGCGGACAGTTGGCAGCTAGGCCCCCACCATGTGTCGGGCCATGTGCCGGTCGGCCGCCAGCTATCCATACTTGCACGTCGGGCTGTGGCGTGTCGTGTGTTTTCCATTTCCTGTGCCCGGAAGAAAAGGTGTACACATGGCCGGATATCGCGATTTTATGCACGTCAATTTGATCCATAGTTGCAAAGTTTCGTGTATATTCAGAGTATACTTCCCCACGAAAGCGTTACACGTTGGACATTTGTCAAATATAGCGAGTCTAAGAAATGTATTATGTTAAACGTCATACTATCTCATTCCTTCTCCAACTTCGAATTTGTTCTCCGGGGAATAGCCAATGCGTGACTTGAATTCTGCGAAATAAATAAATTTGCACATGGGGAAAGCTATAAATATGTAAATATGAACGCTCTAACGGTCGCTTAGTACTTAGTATTTGAAGTACCAATCGACGATGGTTCTCTTAAATTATGTGAGTATATGTAGGAGAATGAAATTAGCATGCCAAGAATAAAAACATCACACAAAATAGTCAATCTCATGATTTGGAACGAGTAAGAATTTGGTTGTAAATTAAGGAATCTTCACTCGACGGGAAACCATTCGAATTTAATTTCAAAGGGCTATAAATGTGCGTTCTGATGTTCTCGGTTCTGATGGTCAAAATGTGGGAGAAGCAAATGAATCATCATTCCTATGTTGAAGCACTGCAATGAAAAATTTGCGCGGTGCATTTTTGAAGAAATAAATGTTACAAACATATGTTGTAGTTTATTTGGTATTTCCTACCGATTTAACATTTTATTTTTCGTTTTGTGCTATAACGACATTAGTAATGTTACATCTATGCCTGCGGTTGGACTTGATTTTTCGAATTTTGTTACACATAAAAATATTTTTCGCACGAAACAAGTCTTTTACTAAGGGGGCTATTATGGTCCGGCTGTTAATATGTTCCACCTTTCTCTGGGAATGCAAATTGTACTAAAATCACTAAATCAGTCAGATACTATATAACCCAGACAGTAGCGAGTACAATTTACTAGTTGTAGACGACATTAATCCCACAGAGACAGCGTAATCAATCAATTAGAACATCACTGTTGTTGGTCGTAATATAAGATTCTCTATGAAAATGCAGATATTATAAGGTCAAATCGAACGAATAAATTTCAGCGTTTCATGATCACTGCTTCATTTTTACTTTCTCGCAATATTACATGATTTCGTAGTCAAGTGGAAGTCTTGTAATGCTGCATTAGAAAGTGACGATTTTTCTCCAGAAAACTAATATTATAGAGTTCTGTTATACAAAAGTGGAAAAATCGTGTTCCTGTATATAGTAAATGACATCCCTTATCACGTTTTGCAGTCAGAATATTAAGTTTTCGTACGATGTGTACGTCCTGGACATCGAAAAATTGGTTTACGACAAAACATCTGTTTGATCGTCGGTATATCTGTCTGTGGTCAATGCTACTGCGCCGCCGTTCAAACAATCTTCTCCAAAATTTGTTCAAAAATCCTCAAAACATTTTTTAAAAAACGACTTCATTCCTTTTTTTGATAAGAACAAAGTACTTTTAAAACGTGTCGCCTGTTCCATTTTCAATACATCGTATTTTCAAAACTTACAACAAAAAAAACAACAAAAAAGTACTATTTCGAAACAAAAATAGGGATGAGAGGAATGCTTTCTTTAATGAAATATGTTCTAAACTTTTAAATCTTTAAATTAGGTTATATTATTTTTTCAAAATAAGAGTAATGTTTTCGTAATGTTTGCTTGAAGTAGAGGCATTTTTTTCTTTCTAAAAAAACTACACAATGTTTTTGCTTTAATGTTTCCTTGAATAGAGCTAAGGACACTAAAAAAATTTTGCAGATCTCATTTTCGTTGAACACACTGAATTTTCGACGTCTGGAAAAATTACAAATAATGTGAGAATGCAGGTGCTGTTGTAACGCCACTTGTTTCACATTAGTAGATTTTTAAAATTAAACATTTTATCTTCCTTCTTGTTTTGTAACTTATGTTACAATTTATGGTATGAAATAAAGTATGTGTGTTCTATTTATAAATGTTGCCATTACTCGTTAATTATATTTCAACTTTTCTGTTATGCGAAGAAAGCATGTTAATTGTCAGAACAAATGTGAGGTCTATAATATTTTCAACATATGCTGACAAAATGACAGAGACAAGGTCTTGGAAAAAAGTATCTTTTAAAATGAATGTTATAACTTTGCCGCTTCCTGTAGTTATTCCTAGAACTTTATAATGTTCACACTGAATAACCAGTAACTTGTGAATATTGTCGCTTTATCGATCTTAATATAAGCTATTATACCTTTTTTTATAAAAAGGATTTTTAAGAAAGAGGCAGCTGATGAAATCGTTAACAAAACCATGATACCTCCAGGCGCCCTTAATACATTTGTGTATTAACTAATTATGAGTGAATCATTAACGTATTAAAATTAAAAAATAAAATAATTGTTATCTTTTTCACTTCTTAGTTAACTCTCTGACTTACTACACTAATTCAGATAATGGGAAAAGAAGAATTATTTGAATATTAAATGATCATAAGAAAGGAACAGATAAAATTCATTTCTTTATTCGATCTTTCTTCGTTGCAGTAACAACTTCAAAAACGTCGCGTCGTTTTAAACGCAGTAGAATGCTAGGGCAATGGAACTCCCTCTTCTTCGATAAATTTTCTACACTTCCGTGAAAGCGTCTGTTGCTGCCTTCATCCTATGAATTTGTGTAAAGATTTCTCAATTCGATAAAGACACTCATTAATTATTTTTCACTTAACTCCAATAAATTGCCCGGACTTGCCCATCTACTTATCCGGGGTAATATAACTTTGCCCTCTCCTGTTGTTAATCGGAGGACCTAATAATGTTCACACCGAATTAAGCAGCGAAGTAGGCAGAGAAGAATTATTGACCGATCACTGCTCGGCGGCGTCGACTCGAGAGAACGGATGATTCGCAGAGGGTTGGCCAGTAAAACTCTCTGTCAAAGTTGGCCATGTACCTCAGCTGTATTACACTCGAATAGTAAGTAGTTTTCATCATAAAGCGGATGCCAAGTTTTGAGAAATTAAAGTTCAAAGAATGACTACCGATAAAAGTACGATAACTAAATGAAGTTTTCCCCTTTTTTATCTTCAATTGTGTAAATATTTTATTTTCATTATCAACACATTAAGAAAAATTGTGACCAACGATTAAATTTAATCTCCCCTGTATGTAACTTGCAATATCATTTTCCCTACGCAAAGCTACATTAACTGTGGTTTTTAAATTTTCATTGAAAAATTACTTCTTTTCTGCTTCCATCGATCTTTACGAAGGACGTAAATAGAAATGTGTAGTAAACAAATGGACAGTAATGCTAAGGGCCTTTAGAGACCGGGAATTCTCTGCCCAGTGCGCGTCCTTTGCAACTTTACTCCCCTGTGAGCTGTTGATGACCGGATAGCGACGGGATTACCTTGGAAATATTGAGGAAAGTGGCGGAGGTGAAATGGGACCGCACGGGACTTTCGAAGGGGGAACGTGTTTCAAATGTTTACGCGCAGGCAAGAAGGGTTGAAGGATTGTGCTGTGAAAATGGTAACTGTGATGTCATATTCACTCACCATCACAATGGCAAATACGGAAATATCTTCGCGTTAGATATAAACTAATAACGGAAACAAATGTCAGCATTTATGACTAATAATGATGAAAGAGTGCCGATGACGACTGAAACTGGGAAGTCGGCAGCAGTTGCAGCAGTAGGAATTCTTAAATGGCTGCAAACAAAGGTAAGGAGAACGAAATGAATGACAACAAAAAGGGGAATGGGGAGAACGGAAAGAATCTGAGAAGGAGGAAGGAATTGGAATGAGAACAAGACGAAGGAGAACGGAAGACAACAGATGTCCGAAAAATAGAAGACGGCGGAGGAGAATGGACAGACCAAGGGCTTCATTGGTAGCGTGTGTGGCTGCAGCGACGGCGGCGGTAGCAGCAGTGGAGTAGCGGCGGCGGTAGCGGCGGCGGGCGTGCCAAGTGACTCACCCCTGTTGCGGGACTGAGGAGAGGGGCCGCTGGGCGGAGCTCGAGGGGGTAGCGTGTACTCTGTGCAGCTGCCGGGGGGAGGCAGGACGGTTGTCGTTGCTGCCGTTTCTGCTGCTGCCACAGATATTCACCAATATTCACTGCCAGCGATACTGCCATTATCACCACCACCACTATTATTATTACCATCGCCTACAACCATCACTATCACCATCGCTACCACCACCAATATAATAATTTCTGCCAGCTTTAACACCACCACCACCACCATCACATCCACAACTACAGTCATCACAGCCACCATCACAACAATCGTCGCCACCACAATATTACAATCACCACCACCGATACTACGGCCACTACTCCCAACATGACAACAATCACCATCAACATCACTACAACAATCACTAGTCATCACTCCCGCCACCGTCACGATCACCAATGTCACCACTTTCAACAACGTCACGAACGTAAACAGTACCACTACCACTCCTTAATGCGGATGTCAGTGTTTCGTTTTCTGTTAACTTTTCCCAGAACCGATGCGCCAGGCTTATTATTGCTAATGCATCAATTTCCTAATTTCATACTAGAAACAGATTGATGTATCCGGGTACGTCAACTGCTATAGGCATTAGATCCGTTAGGGTAGAGAATGTTTTATACAGGGGAGGGGCATTGTTGCTATCCCCCTGAATGGTGATACCATGCACCGAGCTATACGTCGCTTGCAAGAGATTTTCCCTGCCAAGAATCTCCCCCAACGGGCCACTGCCCCACCCGGGACAAACTATAAAGTCTCAACTGGTCTCCTGAAAAGTGTGGCAGTGTACTGCACGTAAGTTTAATTATGTGTATGAGTGTGTATGCGTGCGTGCGCATGTGTGTATAAGGGGGAGGATAGGCTAAGGAAGAGAAAGGAAAGATCTGCTTGGTCCATGGCCCGTTTGTTAGAGTAGTAGCACTATTTCGGCATTCGGCTGATATTGATCGGAGATATCACAAAAACCTACCGATCAGAGCAGCCGACGTCTAAAATTCTCAATGATTCTAATAATTGTCAAAAAGTCCGCCGTCGCCGGAAATCAAATATTAGGACCTCCCTGTCAGATTGCTGCAGTGGCATCAGTTGGCAACTCTGAGTTATCTGAGCCGTATACTATTTTTCTAACTCATATAATGAAAATTGTTCTCTAATAATTTGCCAGGGTCCGAGACAATTTAAGTGTGTTATAATTGATTTTTTCCCTTTTTACTTTTCGCCGTAAACAGCTATATTTATAGTTTCCCCTCCACCAATTGATTATTCTTTCACAGAATGAGTTTTAGTTTTAAATACGCCTTTATTTCTATTCCTTGCGAAGTTTACCTTTTCTTTATTTTTTCGTGTTTCAGATCATTTTCACGCTTTAGTCAATAAATCTATTATTATGTATTCTATTGCAGTCTAATATCTGCTAATTTCATATTCTTTGCACCTCGAAGACCATCGCTTACTTTCAAGTCGTTGAGTCATTGCTAATAATTTGTAATTCCCGTCCCGGTAGTTAGATGTAAATTACTGTACTAATCTTTAAGCTGGTAATGTAAAAAGAGGAATCATGCACTCTATTTACCCTTTGTCAGATGTGAAGTATTCATAATTCCACAAGTAGATGAGGACAAGACAATGTTCACAACAATACACAGCAATATTATATCAGATCCCAGTTATCTGATATAACATATGATAAATAAATAGAAACTATATCAACCATCTTTATTATCTTCAACAAACCAAGACGTCAATTGTCTGTATCCTCTTCAACAAATCCACTAAACGAATTTAATAGTACTATATGAGATGAGAATTGTAACCGGTGAGAACAAGGGTATTTAACAGCAAATGAGGAAAAAAAATAATAACAGCGAACGATTTTTTGCAACAACGCTCTCACGAAGAAAATTTAGAAATAATACGTCAACCGAAAATAATAAGGATGACGAAAAAGTTATGTTTTAACCGCCAAGATGACTGATAAAAGGGCATCAAATATCCCACTGGTACTAACGTCCAAACAGACTCCTGGCGAATTCTTCCCCGGAGTCAACTTAGGAAACCTGTTATAGCGAGTAAGGAAATAGATGCATAAATATATTAGTTATACTTGAAGTGGGGCCTTACACAAGCTTTGAGGTTTTGTGAAAAATGAAGACACATCGCAATTGTACAATTACCCAAATAAAATAGTAGTTTATATTACTTTATACTATATATATTAGTATGTTCAAAAGTTAATCGAAGCATATATCATATGGATACATATGCCAGCGGACATATGCAAAATAAATATTTAAATTAAGCGGTAAAATACATTCTTAAAAAACTTCTCACCACAATAGTAAACTGTAGTTCAATATCTGCTAATTTATTTATTTAATGTAAGGACATTTCAAAATCTGTGTAATGCACTATGTAAAAAAGAGAATTCTGTACAGGTTTTCTTACATTCTGGGATCTCTGCCCTAACCTATATGTAAGTGTAATTATGAGTACAGGCGAAAACAGGCGTTATTGGTTAGAATTGAAAAGAAAAAGATTCGCTGTCGTGAAATAAAAACTGTTTGCAAAGGCAAATCAACTAGTGACTCTTATCCCTCACCGTTCCCTTTGTGAGGCAATAGACTTACTGCCGGGAGAACATGGAAGAAGATAATTTGAATAAGTTTATTACCCTGTGAACTCTAGGAAACCTGCACCGATAGTTGCATTCATGTCCAGAAACAAATTAGGGGTCATCTCCGCATTCGCTCAAAGGATCGACGTAACTGGACGAAAAACCTGATGGAGACGGGAATTTTTGACTCAGAAGCTCAGGTACAATTCTTGATTCAGACAAATTTAGCATTTTAGAATTATTTAGTCCAAATCGTAACTAATATATTAAATATCACTATTAAAATCATTCCTTCCTTTTTCGGTGCTCGTTATAGTGTCAAATTGTATAGAAAAAACAATTACGTAGTAGAAAATATTGTACTTGATACTTAAACTTGTGTATAGATTTTAATTGTTTAATCTCGTCTGGCAATGTGTGGTAAAATAATGCACACGTATTGTACTGAAGTGAGCTGTTACATCTCACATGTGGTCTTACTATATCAAGTGTTATAGATACAGACATCTGTATTCGCTGAGAATATGTCCAAACCCGTTATTAAATCAGTTTTTGACAAAATCACTGATTCGTAAATCAAGAGGCAAGGTAATTTTTGGTTTAATAAAGAGTTGCTTATAAGAGCCATGTAGGTGGGATTTGCTTATCATTGGTGCAATCCTATCTGTAATGTAAAAGTCTGAAAACTCTAGGACGTGTTTCCCCAGAGTATTATGACATATTTCCGACGGGAATGAAATCCGCAAAATATACACAACGAGCAGTATGAAAGCTGACTGAATTTAAAAGAATTCTGAAGGCGTAGCACAATGAACTTAACTATGTGTTATCTTTCCTCATTGATGAAACATATTGGCAAATTCACTATTTTAAAAATCATAAATTACAAATATAATTACTAATATCACGAAAGTTGTTTTTCTAAGTATTTTACATAAATCATCAAGAGAACCATACTCGACGTAACCGACCCAATAAAGCCGAAAGCATGTCCAACTTCCAACACGAGTACAAGTAGTAAGTCGAGAAACGCTCTATTACGATAAAGGATGTTACCAGACCATTTGTGCTCACATTCAATGAGGATGGAAGTCGAGAGGCGCGCGCAAACGAGTGGGCGCGCACGCCAGAGGTGCGAAACGCCTTCGGTAACCGGTCGAGTATCGGAGGGACGAAACCGGATTGTACGCGATGAGCTTGAGTCGGGCTGCGCGCGCGCCGCTTCCGTAAGGAGCGAAGCGTGTCGCGCTTGCGAGGGCGCGGGAGAACCCCGGGCTGACGTGTCGAGCGGTGGGAGCCACGCGCGACAAGGGCGCCCCTCCCCCGCGCTCCCCGCGTCCTCCGCCACGGCCCCGCCCCCTCTCCGCTCGCCCCACTCCCCAGCGCGGGCCCCCGTGCCACCGCCCACACCACGTGAGTACTAATCGACGCGGACATACACACGCACCCACGCCTACACGCGCACGCGTTCACGCTCACGCACGCGTCCACGCACGCCGCTCGCGGAGTTGCGTAAACACGCGGCCGACCGCAGCCCTCTTCTCGCCTGCCCTTCTCCGCGCAACTTTTCCCTGCTGAGGAGGACACAGCGCGCCTGGCGCCGGCCGCCCTCGTTGCTGCACCCGTAAGCGTCACAACGAACAATCGCCAACTAGCGTTCTCCTAACTGTGAGATATGTATTGGCACCCTGCCGAGTTGTCTCCATGATGCCAGCCGGCGTTTTTCGCCGTCCGGTCCTGACCCGCCACAATATCACTCATTACCACCAACAAAGATGATTGAAATTAAGAGACCTTCCGCACTATAAAAGGTGTATTGACATCCCAAAAGAAATTAACAGAATGTTTCTTTTTTCTTTTGGTTATTTTATGGTCACATCAACTTCTAGATCAGTAGCAACCACTATTGCGTGTAACTGTATGGTAACAATGAGGATGACACGATATGATGATGATGATAGGGACTGAAAGAACGAACACAATACAACCATGCCCGAGGCGGGATTTGAAGCCGCGATCCTAGATCGCTACGGCACTACTGCCTTAGCGATCTCGGCCAACCGGACCGGCAACAGTATGTTGTTTTCATGCTACAGTCATAAAGAATATAAAAAAACTGTTAATAATTATAGTGGTGTTCTTGTATAGATGTGAACAAACGTTTGCTGAAATGGAGTTCGAGCAATGGTTTAAGGTAGACGAAATAATGTAACCTATAAAAAGCATATCAACATTATTTCTCAGTGAGGCACAGTGATTCATTAAGTGAGGCCTGGATTTGAAGCCACAGTCTGGAGAAGAGGTTCCAGACGGGGTCGATCTCTGGGGGGTCAATGGTGATAAAAGTATCACTGGGGGGGGGTCGTTAGACGATAATGCACCGGTAACTGCTCGGTATAACCCAGTTAAAGAACCCACTGATTAAAAAAAATAAATTAAGTTTATGCAATTTTCTTA